GTACTGCAGTAGTAACTCGAATGTTTAGATTAAGATACACAACCACTAGTTTTGAATACTTCTGACAAGGATTCAGCTCTCCGAAAGCTGAATGCTTCCTGGAGGCATTTACGTGCTTAATACCGTCAACAAACATTCATTTATCATAACATTGAATAAAGTCTATACTTTCCACAAGAGTTCAAATCTTCAGTGCTTTGAATACGGCCAATATTTTTTCATTTGCAGTGTTTTTTTACTGGTACATACTGTTAAGTTCTATTGCAGTAAATTGCACTTAAAAATATATTTAAAATAGGTATATATACGTTTTATTGTTTTAAGAATTATAATTAAAGTTATCTTGTTTATTTTGTGCTATTATACCATAATAAGAAGTAAAGGTAAAGCAAGAAAAGGCTGATAATGTCAAAACATTGCAAGTAAAACATTACGGGGCAAAGTGGGAAGAAGGTGATGAGTTGTTGTACTATAAAAACTTTTTTGCATGAGGCAACCTGGAAACTCCAGATTTATGTGGTCCAGTTCAAAATTATCCCACATTGATTGTATAGTTAAATTTTATAACCATTAAAGGAAAAAAAATACAATTATTTTTTTGTTTAATTTTCTAAATCTCCTTAAAAGTTTACAACAAAATGAGCAATCTCCCGCAATTCATATCAAAGTTAGCAATCTCCAATTTATAATTATAGATTTCACCTATACTATGCATCCTGGAGACCTCGTAGTTTGCTACTAGACTAACAACAACAATATTTCAATATAATATATAAAAAAAATTACAAATATAGAATTTAAAATACCAAAATCAATTATCTCAATTTACTCAGTTTTAGTCTGAAGGGAGATTGTTGACTTTGCTCTGACAGGCCTCAATTCTAAGGCAATGTGAACTATTTTTTAAAATTATTTTCAATGCGTTATCACTTCTGGATGTGATATCAACTTTGGTTTTTCAAATGGAACCATATAAATATTATTGCATATTTAAATTCTAGATACGTAAAATTCTAGAAATACTAAAATTTGATTATTTTTTTAATTTTTAACAGTTTTTAAGATATTTTTTTCAAAAATTTTGACAGAATGGATGGTCTTACTAATATGTCTGTATTACCACTAATTGTAATGTTAAAAGTTTAGCTTAACTAAGGGGACATCCATTAATTACGTGAGATAAAAATAGGAGGGGAGGGGTCTAGCAAAATCTCACCAATCGCATGTTAAGGGAGGGGGGGTCAACTTTTGGGTTCAAAGAATATAAGTATTATAATTCAAATTTGTCAAAAAAAAGTAATCTATTTTTTTTTTGTTTTATCGTGTTGTCCGCAATGAAAGATAATGGCTAGTGAGGGATGGGGGGAGGTCTACCACATCTCACCAAGGGGGAGGGAGGGGTCTAAATTATCAGAAAAATGTCTCACGTAATTAATGGATGTCCCCTAAAGAGCACTCTATTGAAAGTCATTAATAGTATTTGAAAAATGCTGCAGCATTCCCTACACCTAAAATAAATAGTTAGATATTACAAAAAAAGTAAAAAACCCGTTTATTTTTTTATTTGTAATATCAATAGTGTGCATTCAATTATTTTTTATTTAGTATAATTTTAAACAAATTTCAAATCGATATCTTTTTCCGTTATCCATAAACTTGTAATGAATAAGTTAGGTGAATTACCCTGTATAAATAAACTTGATCTTGAAAAAAACACAGAAAAAACAACTTTCTAATGTTTGTTATAATTTTTGTATTCGGTCTTCGTTTTTAATTAAAAACAACTTTTCTTATACAAATCGATTTCAGTGTCAGCGCATGGGATTTTAAAATAAATGCATTGGGTCTTCAAATTAATTATATTATGTACCTAGGTTTTTTGTATTGCAGTTAATCATGTACAATATAGAAAACCAGCCGCGTGGGCCACCAAAGTTTAAATGGCGTGTATATGGAAAAGAGGCGGCGTGAGCATAATAAATTTTATCTGCAGCGGCGCATAACCTCGATGTCGCAGACGTCTGTAGGTATACGTCTGTAGGTATACACAGGAAAGATATTTATGTTAAGTTTTCCAAAGTGTCAAGAATGTAAAGAACCTTAGAGAAGGACGCGCACTGAATCAACTCGTCTCGGCTCAGCTCAGTTCGGTGCAATCAGCACACATATATACGCGCGCATCGACTTGTACATTTTAATCAGAAAGCAGTGATGTCGCAGATATAGCAAAAATAAATAATAGCAGCTTAGAAGATTCGGATGAAGAAAATATGATGATTGCTGTAGGTTGTCATTTTTTGGAGATTTCTTTTCACGGGTTTTCTTTTCGTATGGTATTATAATAAAATTTAATGTTTGGATCATACGAAATTTCAAATTCTCGTACGCCTTTATTATAATAAATGCTTCTTCTTTCACCACTCAGATTTTAACTCACCCCCTTCGATTTTGACGATAATCACTGTGTCCCAATGACGCCAAACGAACTTGTCTGTAGCAGTTTGGAAAAATAATGAAAATTTTTCAGATAAGAACAATATTATTTTGTGTATATCTCGGTTCCTAATTGACCAAGAGAGTTGGGCGAAATCTCATTTTACAGAAAAACTGTTATATTTTGGGAGGTAGAGGGACACCAGGCGGCAGCACCCTAGCCACAACCCACAAACTGTTGGGCAATAAAAATTATAATTATAATAATTTGTATTACCCACCCTCGTGGGTTAAGTCGTCAAGATGTCGGACTCTATGGAAAGAGTTATTCTGACTTAATAAAACTTACAGCCGAGAAGTGGTCTAGCGATAAAAATAAATAAAAATAAACAAAATAAATATTCGGATGTTGTATTTGGTTATTGCGCCTGAAGTTCCACTACCTCCGCTACCATTACCCCGCTGTGCTAAACGCTTGGATGTCGGGGTTGGGTCTAAGTACATATAAAATAATGAAATTATTAAATATTTTGAACATATTGAACATTTGAACTTCAACACTTCAAACAAAAATGTTTAAAAATTGGACAAAGAGATAATAATTACAAAATACAGGTCTTCCTCTGTAAAATGAGATGTCGCCCAACTCTCTAGGTCAATTAGGATCCGAGATATACGCTAAATAATATTGCTTTGATCATTTGTAGCCCATACAGTGCCCTGCTTAAAATACCCCATAGAGACCCTGTTCAAACCGATAGATATTTGTATCGGAATGTATGGTGTTTCTATAGAGTGTATCGGTATACCGACTATGGGTCCTATACATATATGTATAGGACCCATAGTTGGGATTTATGGTTGTTCTATAGGAATATCCACCCTTGATTTATTTGCTATTGGTTTCAATGGGGAAAATACACATAAATGTAGAAATTAGTTTTTTCCCTATAGGACCCCATAGGTTTTAATAAAATTTTGTCAAATGTTTTATGGTTGCTTTATAGGGATATCCCTATATATCCTTCATTAAGTTAATTGCTATCGGTCTCAATAGTGAAAATGTAAAAGTTATGGTGTGCCTATAGGTAATTTCCTATGAATTTTCTATCGGGCCGTGTCCGGAAAAAACCATGGACAAATGCACATATTGAATCCGGTAGCGCCCGATAGATTATTTTGTATAGGTCTCTATGGGGTATTTTAAGCAGGGTGATTTTCGTAAGTAATATCATAAGGGCATTTAATTTTTCCGAAAAGAATCGAAAAAAACACGTTGCTAAGTAATATTTTAACAAAAATCATGAGTGCTGGTGGCAACAAAAATCCGTGTCGAAGAGGAGGATTTTTGCACCTGCACGAATGCATTTTGTTAAAAAATATTACTTAGCATTGTGTTTTTTAGATTTTTTTCACAGGAAAAATTAGATGCCCGAATGGTATTTGACAAGACTATTTCATGAATAACAGTTAACAATTAAAATATTAAATTGCAATTTTTGGTGACAACAGCTGCTGTCAAGTTTTGCCGCGGGTAAACTCGAATAAACTGCTGACAGGTGCTGTCACACAGTTTTTTCACCTAGAAACCATTTGTAATTCAAAATTGCGCGTTTGTGATTGGTGGAAATTAAGACGAGGGAATAGGATGTAAGAGTCAAATCCTTCCTGATCTGACGTGTATAAGCATTAATACACATATTATAATAAACAAAATATCATGGATTATACCTTTTTTTAATAAATAATTTGGTTCAGGCAGTGTCTGTAGAAACAATGTACCAATTAAGGCAAACGAAAAACACGATAAAATTTAATTTTTAAATGTTTTAACTTTTACCCTGTAGTGACGCCACGGCCACTCGGCCCTTTTTGAGAAAAAGTAAAAATATTTTTAAAATCGATTTTTTTTACCTAATTTTATTTTTTCACTGTCGAGACCACTTTTATCATAAAGCGCGGAATAAACCTATGGGATATGAAATTTGTTGATTTAAAAAAAATAATGACTTTAATGTTACATTTTGACATAAAGTACGCGTACAATAAGAAAATAAAATTTTCAAACCCCTGTATATCTGCAACCAGTCAGTCTTTGCCGTCAACCTTTTGCTTTATTTTTAGGTGGGAACGCTGTTATATTTTATTTTTTTTTCTCACTACGGTAAATTTTTGTACAAAAATAATATATTTATTCATTATTATATTAAACTAAAATTCGTGAGCGACCCCTAAAAATTTCTAAACAAGGTGATTTATAGAGAGAGCCGTCGGTTTTTTTGCACCACCTATATATTCAGGACACTTTAAAAAAATGTATTCTACCTAAAGCAGCTATCCAATTAAAATGTTTTAAAGAAGGGATCAGTCCCGAAATCTCGAACTTTTTTTCATTAATCCCGAATTTCCGAAAACTGGAAACCCTACTCTAGCGGTTTATCAAAGCAACTTTGAATATGGGTAAGATGGGTTAAATAAACTTATTTTAATTATATAAAATCTATGATACTTCATTGTACAATTATTTCCAGACAATCAGTCAATCAATAAATTTTTATTAAACTTACTTGAAACTACATCAACTGGATCTGGAACCCAGGTTTCCCAATTTTCCTCATCCTCATTCATTGTGGTATTTTCATCTATACGAATTGCTTCCCCTCTTACCAATTCTTCTGCTAAATCATTAGGACCTTCTTCAGTTAAACTACTAACAACACATCTAAAATAATTGTAAAATATATAAAATATTTCCAGCAATTAATAACAAATATATATTTGTTTGTACCTAACTGTATCTTCCCTGGACCTTAAATATTTATGTACTGGACATGTAACTGTTTCCAATAATAAACCAGTAGGATCTAGAACCCTTAAGGATCGTATTGTAGCTACATATGCAGTTAAAACATCAGGAGTACTAACACCTGGATGCAAAAGCCTGGTTTCCATTGCCCTTTGCAAAGTTTTTGTTAAATAAGGCTTTAAGTCGGTCCTGGGTAAACATAACTTTAAATCTTCCAAGGCAGGTAAAGATTCTGGATACTCTGTAAAAAATTATAATGTAAGGATGGTATGGTTTTTATATAAAATTTAAAACACATACCTATAATAATGTTAAATAACTGCTCTATTCTAATTTTTGTATAGGAATTATTTAAAAAATTTGTGAGTTTAATATTTAATATTTCCAACGTTTTTTCAAAAGAATTAGTTGGTTCAAAACAATATACAGTTTTTAACCATTTTATTGCAACTTCTTGTAGCCACTAAAATAAAAAATATTTAAAACTTCAAGATTTAAGTAATATAAACTTTATTACACCTTTTCCAGCAGACCAATAAATTGAGAATCAAAACTATCCTTACACAATTTTTGAATATGAGAATAAATATAATTATAAATTAAATTTGTAATTGTTTGACCACAAAGAGGTTCCAAAAGACAGAGTTCGCCAAGTTTTCTAAAAATACACTTTTGATTAATGTTATAGGTACTAAATTTAAATCAATATTTACCTATTTGTTTCCTTAAAAAGATACATGCAATTACATTGTTGTGTTTCATGCAGGCAATTAAAGCATTGGCCTTCTGTATTAATTTCATCAGTGTCTTCAATTTTTAATGCAGTTTCATAGAAATTCATTATAACAGATTGATAATCCAAATTTAAATGAAACAATAATGTTGATTTACATATCAACTGTAAGGCACTTTGTGTATCAGATTCATTGTAAACAAAATCACCAATTTGAGTGGCTTGCCTAAATAAATCCAATTTAGCAACAATTCGAGCCATATATTGATATCCATGGTATAAGGAGTTTACTGCATCGTAAAACTGATTAAATCCCTTTAATTCTGTACTATTTTGATCTATTTTATGACCAAAGTAGGACCAAAATTCCGGGGCGATTTCCTTTCTAAATCTATATTCTATTTTATCTATGATAAAATCTTGAATCAACTTGGAAATGTTTAGTTTAACAACCACATCAGTAACTTCATAAAATTCATTTTTTGTTGCAGTTCCATCCAAGTGATTTATGTTTGTATTATCATCCAAAATCGGGAAAACCTTTTGTATTAATACCCACGCAGTTTTATAATCTATATTATTTTCGTTCATTTTTATTTTTGTTTGAATATTTGTAGGTTATGTTTTTATACTGTCATTTTGTTGGTTTTGTAAAACGCCATCTAGAAAGGAGTAATAAAAACAATTTATCTATGAGAAAGTGAAAAGTGTGCAGCTTTCCTAAACTATTACCATGGCAAAAATAAAAGGTCTACAAAATATCTTGGCGCGCAGTTCAGGGCTCTCACACTTTCTGCCCGTGTAGTGTATACTATTTTTCTTACTACCTCGGCCGAAAATACAACCCGGCCGAAAATACGGGAAAAAAATGTGTATATCGAAACCACAAAACTAGTTTTGTGATCGAAACATATTGATGCCTGCCCAAATTTTGAGGTTATATTAGTGTCGTAATCATAGTTGCATATGTTGAGCACACGACTAAAAAATTTTTACTCCCGCTATTATAGTATAGAGTATAGTATAGAGTGTGCGCGTATAGCATAGTATAGTATAGTATAGTATAGAGTGTGCGCGTATAACTTGACCAATGCAAGAAACGTAAACTTTCTGCCGTGGAATCGGGGACGAAACAACGTCGAGGTAGTAAGAAAATATATTTTAGATATCCCTAGAAAGATATTAGGAAGATTTTTTTATAAAGATGTCGCGAATATCTTTAAAAAGATAGAATATGTTATAAATATGTCGCATGAATATTTTTTGGAGGATATTGATGTATACATATTTATATAAATATTAACAATATTCTACATATATTCTTCTATATATTATATTATAATATACAGGGTGGTCCAAAAGGAACCTTTTATAATTTGAGAACCAATAAAAAAAACTAAAAATAATATTAAGGGGCCGTTCATTAATTACGTGAGGTGTTTAGGGGGGGAGGGGGTCGAGCCAAACCTCACCAAATCTCACGTGGGGGGGAGGGGGGTTCTCGGCAAATATCACGTAATTTTTTTTTCCGAAAGAAAGAGTGTAAAATTGCGAGAAAACTGGGTTAAATTAAGTAAACAATTATAAGCAAATTGTTTTTTTAAATAAATCTAATGGAATCAAGCACAGATTAACTTATTTACATTAAAACCATGGTTCTTTAGTTTGGGAGAATTTTTTTAATACTTCATTACCTTGTATTTCTGTAAATGTTGATTTTGATAATTTAATCTTAAACTTAAGTTTATTAAGAAAATTAATATTATTATTAGGGGCCGTTCATTAATTACGTGAGACAATTTTAGCGATTTTTCGACCCCCCCCTCCCCTTGGTGAGATGTCGTGAGATTTTGCTCGACCCCCTCTCCCCCCCCCCCTTAATCTTACGTGAGATTTTTTTAAATGCATGCATGCATTTAAATGCATGCATGCATGCATGCATGCATTTAAAAAAATCTCACGTAAGATTAAGGGGGGGGAGAGGGGGTCGAGCAAAATCTCACGACATCTCACCAAGGGGAGGAGGGGGTCGAAAAATCGCTAAAATTGTCTCACGTAATTAATGAACGGCCCCTAATAATAATATTAATTTTCTTAATAAACTTAAGTTTAAGATTAAATTATCAAAATCAACATTTACAGAAATACAAGGTAATGAAGTATTAAAAAAATTCTCCCAAACTAAAGAACGTATTGAAATATAAACTGCTCTTCAAAAGTTAACTTAATTAGGGAACTCTGAATTTTTCGACCAACCCTCGTATTTAATGTTCTAAAATTTATGTATGTAAATAAATGCAGAATTTTGATTAATTATATAAAAACACAAAGGCAGTTTCTGTAAGATTTTTTGTTACTTTACTCGATTTTAACAAATAATGCACATCTCGTTTTCGTACGGTGATAGTTAACTAACTAAAAATCGACATCTAAAGGCTAACATTGAACAAATTTAATAAAGTCATGGAGAGAAGGAAGTTAACCATAGCTCAACAAAATATGGCTGTTAACCAATTGGTATGATAGAAGGAGGTCAAACTCAGGCACATGTAGCGAATCATTTCAATGTGTCGAAAAGTGTAATTTCTAGACTTTACTCTAGATTTTTGGAGACTGAATCGGTAGAAGAAAGACGAAAAAGTGGAAGACCAAAGAAAACAACACCTCAACATGACCATTATTTGACTCTATCTGCTCGTAGAGAGCCGTTATCGACGTGCCGTCAACTAGCAAGCCGCCTGGAAAATGCTACCGGAGTTTCAATTTCCATTGCAACGATTAGGAGACGTTTACTGGACAACAATCTGGGTTCCAGGCGTTTACTTCGACGAGTTCCATTAACTGTTGTACACAAACAAGCAAGACTACGATGGGCGAGATAATATGCAAACTGGGTACAAGAATGGGAATCTGTATTTTTTACTGACGAGGCCAAGACCTGAGACCCTTGGAGAACTAAGGCATCTGTTGCCCCTTCTTTGGGCACAAATTCCTCAAGACATGCTGGATAACCTTGTAACAAGTATGCCTAGACGTTGTCAAGCCGGTATTGATGCAATATAGGCGGTTACACAACTTATTAAATTTAAAATTATAGTTTTTTTTTTTAATTTGTGTTAAATCAGACTTTTTATTAATTTCCCTTTTGGTTATAAAATGTAAAAATATATATTAATTTTGGTCTCCACATTATATTAATTTTTCTCTAGTATGCCACAATTTTCAAAATAGTTCATACATTATAATTTTTCTGCAAGTTCCCTAACTTTTAAAGAGCAGTTTATATTATTATTATTACTCGCTATAGAGCGAGTATTGTTTTTTTTAAAGGGGGAGATTCGGCACTGATTTATTTTTGTCTGATTTTTAAACTTTGCGCGATAATTTTGATATTGCAAGTTGGCAATATACCTATATCGTGATCTTCAGTGGCGGCTGGTGCTTGTTAAAACTAGGATACATTAAAAGTAACCCATCGACGACCAATTAGAAGGCTGCAGCGATGCAGTGTTGCCGTAGTGCATGCTGGGCCGCGGGTAACAGTGTTGCCAGTCTAGTACAATTGTACTAGATCTAGTACTTTTTTAATAAATTCTATACCCTAGTACCCTTGAATCAAAATCTAGTACTTTTTGATATATGGGCGTAAAAAAAAAAACAATTTTTTACCCCACTTAATTAAAATTATTATAAATTTCAAACGGATACACGCAACTATAAATACACATTTAGAAACATTGGGCGGAATGATAATTATTGTGCAACAATTTGGGGGCTTTGAAAAATGGACGCAATTTTGCATAGCACATTCGAAAGTATACATTAAGATAAAAAAAACCCTAGCTCTGTTTTGCGATATTAGCTCGCATTTTTATTTTATGGCTCTATAAAGTTTTACAAAATTTGTGAATTGACCTGCTCAGTTTTTGGCTAATTACTCGGCAACTATTGAAGATAGCGAAATACTTTTTTTTAGCAAAATTTTAGCTAAGAGTGCCAGCAACAAATTTTATTAACATATTATGCCTCCAAAATTACATCTAAACAGAGTTTTTGAGCAAAATATCGTAAATAGTCAATTTTTATTACTTTTTCGAACACAAGTCGCAATGTATTCTACTTTTTTGCTAAATTTTTGTGGCAAAATTATAGTTTATGTAAAAATAAACAATTTTTGTGAACTTATTAATTAACCAGAAAAAAACTTACCTGATGTGTATCTTTTGAAGCGAAAATCAAGAAAATGAAAAAAATTAAGTAAACGAAAAATATATATTAAGGTCGTGCTTTCTTGGCTGCAGGCTTAACAACATCAGAATCTTCATCGTCCGAAGCAACAAATTCTTCTATAAATCTTTCCGTTTCCTCTTCATCTTTTTCGTTTTTTTTACTGTCACGGTCTTCAAACCTGCGCTTGCTCCACCAACAAATCTCTCAAATTTCTTTCCTCTGTACCTAAACGGAATAACAATTGTAAATGAACTAAGAAATAAAATAATAAAAATCTACCATATTTCGAATGGAATTGCAGTTTGATGGTAGCGTTCTCCCTGCTCATCTGATTCGGTTGGCAATTGACGGCTAAAGTTTTGCAAGTAATGATGCAAATAGTGTATTTTAAGGGGTTACATACAGTTAGAATTTTCAAAACATCGAATTTTTTTTAATTTTATTTTCCTAATGTACATATATTTAAGAATAAACACAGAAAATTTCATATCGTTCCGGTGAATATTTTCAAAGTTACACGCAAATTTGAAAAGGCGTTTCAGAGTGCTTGGAAGTACAAGGCCGGAGCGGCAGCGACTACCCTTTTATGCACCTGCCTTGTAAATGCTCCGTTCTAATGTATTAAGATGTGTAAATCAACAGTGTGAACAGGGTGTATTATATGGGCCTGGAATAGACGACTCCATGTAAGTTAAAAAATAAAAAAAATGTATCCCATGTAAACTGCATTCCACACTTTAAACGGGTTTTTCTCTGAATGGTGTTTTCAAAGTCGGTGACCAACATTACTCGAAAACGGCTAAACCGATTAGTCTCAAATTTTAACACGAGCTTCTTAAATATATTTTTTAGTAATTAATCGAAGATTTTTTCTCTCCGATAAATATTTTTGTTTTTATAAATAATTTAAGGCCGAAATTTCGGTGAAAAATCGATTTTTTTTTTTGAGAAACCGCCATTTTGTCAAAAAATTTTATTTTGCTTATTCCTTCGATTAATTACTAGATTTAACATTACTTTAACGAAATTTGTTTGGTTTTTTAAATTCAGATGATCCAGTTCAGAGATATAGTGGTCACCGCAAAACGTCTTTTTTCAGAGGAGCATCCGGAGATCAGCTGTAGCTCTTTTCCAAATAAATATTTTTACTAGTACTAAGTCTTAAAATATAGTTAAAAGATACCATAATATGTGTATAAATTTTTGGATCAATAAATTTAAAAGTTTTCTCAGAAAAACTTTTGGAAAATTCACTTTTTTTCGGCCTTCTAACTGTATATAACCCCTTAAGTGAAATATGTACACCAATGGTTGAAAATGCATTTAGCATACTCCGCACTGATTCTGCATAATTTTTAGAACGATGTTTGCCCAAAAATCCAGTTATAACATGCTTTATGAAATACCATGCAACTAATTTATCTTCCACTAAAACCACTTCAAATCGTTCATTTTTCATTAACCTCCTTAAGTCTGGACCATTGAGAACTCCATGCTTTAACTTGTTGACACTAATTCCGGTAAATATTTCGCTTAAGCATATTAATACGTCCTCTCTTTTTGCTACAGCTGTTAAGAAGTTTTTCACGATTCCAAGTTTAATATGAAGAAATGGCATGAATATCTTTTCAGGTGCTACAAGCGCTTCGCGTAC